CCCTGGTGGCCGGAAGAGGCAGAGCTGGGGCAGGCCATGGCTGGTACACCTCGACCTGATCCTCCCTAAGAGCTGGGGGAGAGCCAGTGCTGCCTACCCCCTTGGGAGAAGGGGGTTGACGAGCATAGTGAGCAGGGGGCACACTGCCCCCTAGTATTTTCTAAAGGAAAAATACATAAAGTTACTGTACATCATCTGGAGAGTCACTGCCTCAAATTAGCATGTGCTTTCTGTTATGACTTAAAACAAATATATAGAATCCTCCCTAAGAGCTGGGGGAGAGCCAGTGCTGCCTACCCCCTTGGGAGAAGGGGGTTGACGAGCATAGTGAGCAGGGGGCACACTGCCCCCTAGTATTTTCTAAAGGAAAAATACATAAAGTTACTGTACATCATCTGGAGAGTCACTGCCTCAAATTAGCATGTGCTTTCTGTTATGACTTAAAACAAATATATAGAGTACACAATTTTTATAACCCTCACCTGATATAAAGCACTCCATTTTGATCCACGCGACGCTGCCAACCAACTGGAACTTGCACTGCTGGTAGTCCTCCATCTTTGTCCCCTCCATCACACTCCTTTCCGCCATTCATTTTTCTGTTTCTGCTTATGACTCTTCAAAGATATCAACAGTAAGATGATATCTTTATATTACATGTCATTATGGCCTTCAAAAAAAGGCCCTTCAGTACATCTTTTTCTAGACTGTACAAAGCACATTGGGAGGCTCTAGTTCAATTTGGAATCAAGTCCCTAAAATTTGTCATTTTTTTTTTTTTGCTAATGAGTCAGTTTCCCATTATAATCCACATTAAATATGCAATGTTTATTATGCATTCATAAGGATGAACTACATGGGTAAAAATGAGTGCTTCCAATTTAGGAAAATCATAATTCACCAATGCTCTATTACATGTCAGAAAGGGGAGGGGAAGAGGTGAATTTCTAGTTTGACAGCATGGCTTCAAGCTTGATGACTGTCTAAAATAACTTGTATTTTGAGAGAGCTAATCTCATTTTTACATATATGAGTCAGAGTTAATACCTCCAGGTATTACACCCTTTATATGCCACATTCTTTTTGCTTTTTCTTTATCTTCCACTCATTATCCAACGTGCTGCAGCTATCTTCCTGTGATTCTTTCATGACTTCACAACTCCAGTACAGCAACCTGAAAAAAAAATCTCTGTAAAACACATGCAGCTAAACATACCTGCAATAATATGAACTGAAAATTCAAACACCATAAACCACTTATTTACTCTCTCTCATCACCTAAGGCCTGATTTTGTAACTTTTACTCACTAATATATCTCCATCCATTTAAAGCACTACATATCAAACCTTTAACCCTTAAAGAAGTTTCCCAAGTAAACCTGAGAATAAGTGCAAACTTGCAAATATGCGTCATTTACATATGAATGGCACTGAAGTAGTCATATAGTAAATCTAAGTGCGCATCCGGCTAACTAAAATCATGTTGGACCACAGATGTTGCCGGACCAGAGAGTGCCAGATTAGAGAGGTTCAAACTGTATAATATTTTAGCTTTAATTCTACATGGGTAATCAACCTAAACAAATTATATAAAAAAGACAGTGTCACTTGATTTCTCAGTGCAGATGTGGCACACTAGTTTGCAGGTTCTGCATAATCTCATGAGAGCACCTACTGAACTGCCTGATTGACATAGGAAAAGTAATAAACTTGCCTCATGTATGAATAAGCCCTATTAAATAAGTTCATAATGATATAAGCTCCTGCTATCTACCCAAAATGAATACTTCCAAGTATTTCAAGAGAGAATTAACTCTCTAGAAAACAAGTTTTGTTAAACGGGAAGCTGAATAGGAAAGATTTAGATAAAATGCTATAAAAACAACAGTTCTAGAAATCAAGGGTAAGATAAATGACTCCCCCTATATTGAAGTAATGATGCTGTCAGAGCTTTTATTTTGATCTAGTTTAATGCTATATCTGTTCTATCTTTCTCCTTGCTATTATCTACTAATATTTGAGTTTGTGTGCTTCTTTTGGTGTGAACATCCGTCCGTCTGTTCAAGAATTTCTTACCTTAATAGTAAGAAAATTTGGTATGCAGCTTCCTCTTATTATAACTTAAAGCAAGGTCAGGGTTTGGTTGTGCCAGGACAATGGAATGTGAATGGAATGTTTCTCATCAAATGGAAAGGGAGGATGTAATAGCAGAAGAGTTATACTTACAGAAGAGTTATACCCCTAAATGATCACAGGGGGCAGCAAGCACCCCCACTGCTCCAGGCAAGCTCCACGGAGAAGCTGGCAAGTGGGCTGCACAGGACTGGCCCCGGAGAGAAACTGGCAGGTCCCCTCCCCTTCAATCCGCCCACACTTCCCAAACCTGTATCCTGATGGCTGCACCCCCGCCTCTACCCTCAGCCTCTTCTCACCCTCTATCCTGACTCTTACACTCCCCACACCCTCAGCTTCCTGCCCTGAGTCTCCCCACCCCACTGACTGCTGCACCCCATAACCCCAGCAGTGTTCCCTCTAAGCTGCAAAGTGGCACAGTCTCACAGCTGCTTAATAAGCACAACCTAGCCAGGCTCAGGACTGGCACATGGAGCTGCCTGGCTGGGGAGGGGCACTTCTCCCTCAGCAACAGCATCAGCTCCCTGCTGAGTACAGAGCATGGAGTCTCTCCCAGCTGGTAGGGAGAGAACTAATTCATTGAATTATTAATAATCCATTAATAATACTCAAATTGGAGGGAGAAGCCTACAATTTAAATGCCTGGTATCATCTGCAATGCATTCTTAGATAAATTTCTCTGCCTATGGGAGTTTCTACCTGCCACTGTCCATACAGGCCTATAAGATGGATGATTAAAATGGAAATTGATCTAGATATCACTATGAAGGTCATAAAATGGCTTCTGCTGACACAACATGCAACATTATGTCTCTTTCAGAACTGTTTGTCACTAAAAGCATATTACATGTCATGCCATGCTCTACACTCATTTGCCACCCAATACTAGACCTTTTTCAATATCCTGGTCTTCCTTTACAAGTCCCTCAATGAGAAACAACTTGGAAGCTGTATGTATAACCTACTGTCACTGCAATGATGGACAAATATACTGCAGCTAATGGAGCATAAGTTGAGCATCATAGAGTCAGAAGCAGAGCTCAGCACTATAAAATTCTTTTCCACTATAGATCAGATTTAACTCTCACCTGGTCACTTTCAGAGCTCAGTATGTTCTCTCTTCTTTTCAGAGCCTTTTCTTCCTATTTCCTCAATACAGGATGCTACCAAATAGCATGAAGAAAGTCTCTCCTCTAGACTTTCCTAATTTCAGACAACATTATATCTATCTTTTAATCTCCATATCTGGTGCTCACAAACACTACTGATAGGCACATTAGGAATACATTAGGGATATGATAGACTAGCTAGAGCTTCACAAAGTGCAGGTAGCATGACAAGACTTTTTTGTGCAGTTAAGATTTAGTGGAACATTATTTTATCTTTTCTATTTTATTTTTGTTTGTTTGATTTATTTGTCAATGCCTAAGGCCAGGTCAATTTATAGACTGAGTGAATTTTTCTCTCTCTCTATTATTACGGTATATTGTAGTTTTGTTATAGATTCTGAATGTGATTTTTTATAATAATGTAAAATATTTTTAGAAATAAGGGTTACACCCAGTCCTGGGAAACGGTTGAGTCCGTGGGCCAATTAGAAGAGGGTTACAGACAGCCAATCAGGGTCTGGCCAGGCCCTGTAAGAAGGGTTCCTGGAGAGGAGGAGAACACACTCTTGCTCCAGCTGTGAAGCAGAAAGGACCTGGATGCCTGGTGGGCTAGAGAGGGTACCTGAGACAGCAGTGCTGGGGAAGGGCAGGCAGAGAGCTGACTCAACTCCCAGGATGCAGGAACCTGAGAAGTACTAGGCAGTCAGGGTAGAAGAAGGCAGGAGGTCCACACCTCCTTGCCAACTATGAATGGCCATTTCAGACTGCAGTTTGCTTTTGAGGCAGGGTCACTGATGCAAGGTGGATATGGAAGAGGGTGTTCCCTGGGAGCACTGATGAGGGGCAGCATCAGGGGCCAGGAGACAAACAAGGCCTGACATAGCATGGAAGATGACAGGTAATTGAGGAGAAGACACTGGAGAACAGGGGGCACTCCAGAGCTGGAAGAACTAATTCTCAGATAGACCAGCAGGAGGCACTGTGCTGGTGAGTGCTTGAACACTTACAATCATCAAAATTTAAAATGTTGAAGCACATGGGATAAATAATGAAAAATGTCATCTCTTAACCTGCTAATATTACTACTTTGCATGCTCATGTTGCTATTTAATGAGACCAAATTGGCTCTATTAGTAGGAAATGATAGTCAATATATATTTGCAAACATATTTCAAGTTATTTTTAAGTAACTATTTGTATTAGTTTCAGAGGCGTAGCCAAGTTAGACTATAACTGGAAAAACTTAAACAACAAATAGTCTGGCAGCACCTTGAAGACTAACAAAACATGTAGATCGGAGTGGCCAACCCATTCTGGGGAAAGAGCCAAGATATCAGTGGATCCAGTGCGAAGAGCCAGGGCAAAGTTGTTGAGCAAAAAACAAACAAACAAAACCAAACCTCCTCTGCTCCTTTAAGAAAACATGTTTAGAGGCTTTTTGGCTACATCAGGCTCCTGCCGGCCAATGCCATCTTTAATTGTCCTTCTTTAATGGCTGCACCGGACGGCTTCCCTGCCCAGGTCAGCACAGGGAGCTGGGAGGAGGGGGCCATTTTTGGGGATGGGGGGCAGAGCAAAAAACAAACAAACAAAACCAAACCTCCTCTGCTCCTTTAAGAAAACATGTTTAGAGGCTTTTTGGCTACATCAGGCTCCTGCCGGCCAATGCCATCTTTAATTGTCCTTCTTTAATGGCTGCACCGGACGGCTTCCCTGCCCAGGTCAGCACAGGGAGCTGGGAGGAGGGGGCCATTTTTGGGGATGGGGGGCAGCTTTATAAGTCATGGGGGGGGAGGAGGGGTTTGCAAGCCACACCCCGCGGGGGGGGGGGGGGGGGAGGCCGCCGGGGGC